ATCACCATCCTCATCATCACCATCATCATCACCATCATCATCATCCTCCTCATCATCACCATCATCATCATCATCACCATCATCATCATCCTCCTCATCATCATCACCATCATCATTGTCATCATCCTACTCCTCATCATCACCATCATCATCATCCTCCTCATCATCACCATCATCATCATCACCATCATCATCACCATCATCATTGTCATCATCCTCCTCCTCATCATCACCATCATCATCATCCTCATCATCACCATCCTCCTCATCATCACCATCATCATCACCATCATCATCATCCTCCTCATCATCACCATCATCATCATCATCATCATCTCCATCATCATCCTCCTCATCATCGCCATCATCATCATCCTCCTCATCATCATCATCATAATCACCATCATCATCATCCTCCTCATCATCACCATCATCATCATCATCATCATCACCTTCATCATCCTCATCATCATCATCACCATCATCATTGTCATCATCCTCCTCATCATCATCATAGTCATCATCATCATCATCACCATCATCATCATCATCATCATCCTCCTCATCATCACCATCATCATCCTCCTCATCATCATCCTCCTCATCATCACCATCATCATCATCATCACCATCATCATCATCCTCCTCATCATCACCATCATCATCATCATCATCATCATCATCATCATCACCATCATCATCCTCCTCCTCATCATCACCATCATCATTGTCATCATCCTCCTCATCATCATCACCATCATCATTGTCATCATCCTCCTCCTCATCATCATAGTCATCATCATCATCATCACCATCATCATCACCATCCTCCTCATTATCATCATCATCATCACCATCATCATCATCCTCCTCATCATCACCATCATCATCATCATCATCATCACCATCATCATCCTCCTCCTCATCATCACCATCATCATTGTCATCATCCTCCTCATCATCATCATAGTCATCATCATCATCATCACCATCATCATCATCATCCTACTCATCATCACCATCATCATCATCATCCTCCTCCTACACCTCATCATCACCACCATCATCCTCCTCCTCATCATCATAGTCATCATCATCATCATCATCCTCCTCAACATCACCATCCTCATCATCACCATCATCATCATCCTCCTCATCATCACCATCATCATCATCATCATCATCATCACCATCATCATCCTCCTCATCATCATCACCATCATCATTGTCATCATCCTCCTCCTCATCATCACCATCATCATCATCCTCCTCATCATCACCATCATCATCATCACCATCATCATCACCATCATCATTGTCATCATCCTCCTCCTCATCATCACCATCATCATCACCATCATCATCATCCTCATCATCACCATCCTCCTCATCATCACCATCATCATCACCATCATCATCATCCTCCTCATCATCACCATCATCATCATCATCATCATCTCCATCATCATCCTCCTCATCATCACCATCATCATCATCCTCCTCCTCATCATCATCATAATCACCATCATCATCATCCTCCTCATCATCACCATCATCATCATCATCATCATCACCTTCATCATCCTCATCATCATCATCACCATCATCATTGTCATCATCCTCCTCATCATCATCATAGTCATCATCATCATCATCACCATCATCATCATCATCCTCCTCATCATCACCATCATCATCACCATCATCATCATCCTCCTCATCATCACCATCATCATCATCATCACCATCATCATCATCCTCCTCATCATCACCATCATCATCATCATCATCATCATCATCATCATCATCATCATTGTCATCATCCTCCTCCTCATCATCACCATCATCATTGTCATCATCCTCCTCCTCATCATCACCATCATCATTGTCATCATCCTCCTCCTCATCATCATAGTCATCATCATCATCATCACCATCATCATCACCATCCTCCTCATTATCATCATCATCATCACCATCATCATCATCCTCCTCATCATCACCATCATCATCATCATCATCATCATCATCACCATCATCATCCTCCTCCTCATCATCACCATCATCATTGTCATCATCCTCCTCCTCATCATCATAGTCATCACCATCATCATCACCATCATCATCATCCTCCTCATCATCACCATCATCCTCCTCATCATCACCATCATCATCATCACCATCATCATCATCCTCCTCATCATCATCATAATCACCATCATCATCATCCTCCTCATCATCATCACCATCATCGTCATCATCCTCCTCCTCATCATCATAGTCATCATCATCATCATCACCATCATCATCATCATCCTCCTCATCATCACCATCATCATCACCATCATCATCATCCTCCTCATCATCATCACCATCATCATCATCATCACCATCATCATCATCCTCCTCATCATCACCATCATCATCATCATCATCACCATCATCATCCTCCTCCTCATCATCACCATCATCATTGTCATCATCCTCCTCCTCATCATCACCATCATCATTGTCATCATCCTCCTCATCATCATAGTCATCATCATCATCATCATCACCATCATCATCATCATCCTCCTCATCATCACCATCCTCCTCATCATCACCATTATCATCACCATCATCATCATCCTCCTCATCATCACCATCATCATCATCATCATCACCATCATCATCCTCCTCATCATCATCACCATCATCATCCTCCTCATCATCATAGTCATCATCATCATCACCATCATCATCATCGTCCTCATCATCATCACCATCATCATCCTCCTCCTCATCACCATCATCACCATCCTCCTCATCACCATCATCACATCCTCATCATCATCATCATCACCATCATCACCATCCTCCTCATCACCATCATGACATCCTCATCATCATCATCATCACCATCATCATCCTCCTCATCATCACCATCATCATCATCATCCTCCTCCTCATCACCATCATCATCATCATCCTCCTCATCACCATCATCACCATCCTCCTCATCACCATCATCATCATCCTCCTCATCATCACCATCATCATCATCCTCCTCATCATAGTTGTAACGTGATGAAGGAGCCATTTCTACCCTAACAGCTGTTTCCTTCTGACACAGCGCCAGAGTGCATGAAACAGCCTCAAGGTCATGCATTCGCTTCTGAACTGTTTACATTCCAGCATGAAGACAGAAGAATGAAGAATGAACTCTTTTCTTTTAATTAATCAAATAACTCTATTTTAATAAAGCTAATCCATCAAAGTGTTAGTCAATAATAAGATGTGACCGACCTGTGAAATTAAAATATTAATTATTTTATTATGATCTTAGAAACAAAGTAATGTAACTTTAAATGTTCCAACAGGACTCATTTCACGTAGTGTTAAAAAGACATGACACATTCTTTCACTGATCCAATCAGAATCTCACAGATCTGACGGAGGCGTGCTTCTGACGGTGTTTGATCATTTTCATTCAACAATGAACCATAACATCCGAGGTATAAGACTACGCCACGTCAGCTCTAACGCCAGTTCAAAGCGTTCCAGAGCAATCGTCGGAGTGGCCAATCCGACCTTTCACTCTTCAACCGAAAGAACCACGACAAGCTGAGAAAATCCAGTCGCTATAACAACAAGCAACGACAACAGCTCCTTTCAGAATAAAAGCTCCTCCAACCCAGGCTGGGTCTGAACAGACGCCAAGAAAAGAGTCGTGTTCCGGAGGTAACGTGACGGGTCTGGTCTGAATCATGGCTTCTTCTACCAGCTCGGTTTCCAGAGAGGGTCTGCTGGACCTCGGCATTCCTGATCTCACCAGAGGACTCCCACCAGGCGGGTAGGCGTGACTTGATGGTGTCTCATGCGGTTCTGAAACTACCCAAGCTTATTCCAAACCAACATCTTCAGTTCCCGTCAGAACTAATCGCTTCTCCGGATTTGCTGGTTCTGATTTACATGACACGTCATCCATTCACCGTCTCATCCATTTTTAGTCACACTATACACTTAGTTCTTAAATGAGCCTAGTTTAATCGTTAGTAGTAAAATTCTTAACCTTTAAACTTGTCTCGTTCTATTCTGTTGTCTCTGAGTGAATACATAACGGTTACATGATCTCTGCATTAAAAAGACCCGATCTTCTAGTTTAACCAACCCACTGAACCGTAAGGTGGATTTCATATTTACTATGGAATCCCATGCCTTACGGTTCCCTTACACCAGGGGTGTCAAACTCATTTTAGCTCAGGGGCCACATTGAGGGAAATCTAGTCGCAAGTGGGCCGGACCGGTAAATAAAAAAAAACTTCAGATTGTTTTCTTTGTTTTAATACAATCAATATAAAACAAGGCTGGAGCCTGAGGATAGTTTAGTACAAGTACAACACCTGAAGTGTACTTGAAATTTGAAAAAAGTAAAAAATTCAACAATTAAAAAAGCATTCCTTAGTGATTCAAAGAGCTTACAGATCACATGGCTAGACCAGTTTCATGCAGCACTTAAAGTATATTTGACTCATTTTACTTGACATCTTTTAGCTTTCACCGACACATCAATATCAGAAGTCACATCCTGAGTGGCGGCCAACTTCAGGATGTGATTCAAGTTCTTGTGTGAGCCTTGAGCGCAGCTTTGTTTTATTTATACTCGTTACAGAGGAAACTTGCTCACAATGATAAGTCTATTTTCACTCTACATTGTAAAGTATGAAAATAAAGTTTACACAACCATCTCGCGGGCCGGATTTCACCCGCTTGCGGGCCGGATGCGGCCCGTGGGCCGCATGTTTGACACCCCTGCCTTACACTCTTTAAAGTCACTTCAGAAGTAGTTCAGTTGAAGTGTTCACTGATCAGACGTGAACCGGAGATCTCTTCATGTCTATTTTTACGCTCATTTTTTCTGCTTTTTTCAAGTTAACCAGTAAGACAAACAGCAAGAAAGCAAAGGTGAAAAAGAGAGTAAAATAAAACAGGTATTCAGTGATTTAATAACATCTCACCTGTAGTTTGGTCATGTCTTGTAAAACCACGGGTCTGCAGGTAGAGTCCGACTGTCTGCCACAGCTTGTCTTTACTTCTTGTTTCTGTTCTTCTCTGCTACCTCCAACACCTCCCGGCTCTTCCTGTGTTCGGTGGCTTGTCTCTGTTGTCCCTGTCTTCACTCTGCTGTGCCCTGGTCTCCAGTTAGAGCTCCCTGCATGTTCCTGCACCTGCTGTTCCTTCTTCTCTGCACAGCGCACTCCAGAGGTTTCTTCTGGAATCCCTGGGAGAACAAAAACAAACACGAAACATTCATAAACCACATATTTTATGTGATTTAGTCAAAGCAAATCATTTCTAGTGACCGTTTTGGATGCCAACTGGCTTCGCTTCAAGTCCTTTGTCTCTGGAGAAAGAGCCTCTGCTTAGATACGGAGCTTCATGGAAGAAAATCACATGATGTCCAACTAATGAAGTCTCATCTCTCATAAATGCTGCAGATCTGCCTCCAATCAGAAATAAAGCATTGACTTTGAGTATATATGGTCATTATTGCCCATATGGAACAATCCTTAGCAAAGATCGGTAATGAAAGAGCAAACTGGCGTCTGTCTTTTCCTCACGCTGTATTTGTCTGCAGCCGTGGAGCTCAGGACTCGCCATCCTTTGCTGCCACCTTGTGTCCAGATGGAGTGTGTGAGCAGCGATCAGCTGTTCGAGTGGAATGTGTTGTTTTACTGCAGCTGACCGGATTTAAACCAGCTAAGCTGAACGTTGACACGAGGATCACGGGCCTGTATGGTGGAGCGACGCCTCGCCGAAGGGCTTTAGTAGAATGTAAACCGACCCCATGGCGGTGCGTCAGTCTAAAGTAGAGTTGTGTCCTACTGGACCCCTCACCTGCAGACCCACAGTCATATTCAGTTTATCTACACAAGTCCTCCAAACGCATTAAACGAGTCTGGTTCACGTCTGGATAGCCTTCAAAAAGTCAGATAGTGGACTGAATGTCGGCTGTCCCCTACACCCAGACCGGTACCATCACCTCAGAGCTGGTTTTAAATCATTAGAACACAAGTGCATGATGATCTGAGACCAGAACCTGAGAAGACTGTGACCCAGGCACCAAACGCCGTGGTGTAGAGGTCAGATGCAGGACTACTCACATGCTCCTTCAGTTGGAACCCGGATGCTCGGAGCCACATCTGGACCTTCTGGTGGCCTCTCCTGAGTGTGAGGAGACTGTGAGGTATACTGATCCAGGTGTGTTTCTGAATGCTCTGAACTGGTTTCCAGTGGGTTGGAGGAACTGACTGGAAGGCCTGCTCTGGTGGATTGCATATTTTCATGTCTAAATAGATTCTGGCCACTGCTGACAGCTGGTTCCCCCCGAGGACTGAGGATGGATGTTTGTGGAGTTTTACACTCATCGGGAATAACTGACTCATCTCCACTGGTGCATCTGAGGCACTCTCCACTGCCTTTGTTGGTCAGAGCTTCACCAGAGCCACGATGTTCCGGCTTGTGCTGGCTCTCATTACCAGGAAGGTCACTTTTCCCGCTGCTCTGATGCACAGACAGCAGCTGAGAGTCGGCTCCATCACGGCTCACGTTCTCGTCTGGTGAAGACTGCTCCTCTGGACAACGGCTTTGCTCGTTCCCTACAGGTGGAGTTCCTCCTGACTTCACGACTCTGAGAGAAGCAGAAGTTGACATCGAACTGCCTGCAGGGCTTGGCGCCGGTGTGACGACACTCGCGTGACCACCTGTGTGTGGGAGATAGGGAAAGCCTTGAGGAGGAGCAGACACGGTCGCTGCAGAAGCCTCGGAGGGGTGGCTGTGTTCAGGCAGCTCCTCGTTTGACTTTCTCTCTAGAGGCTCATCCTGTGGTGCTGCTGTTTTCCTCCCCGGGCTGAGTGTGTGCAGACACCGGCGTCTGCTGCAGCTCTGTTGTGGCTCTACACGGCCCCTCCCCTCACTGCCAGAGTCCACCGCTGCAACCCTTTGAGCTTTAGTCTCAGACCCTTCTGAGGTCATTGCTTCAGCGTCACACATCGGTGACAGACCTGTACGTGACGCCCGTTCGATTTGCGGTGCAATGAGGGCGAGCTGCTCGTCAGAAATGATCTGGAGACAGATCTGAAGGTCTGCTGTGTGGACATGAAAGACTTTCTGAGCTGGCTGGTCCAGTGGCATCATTACACAAGGAGTAACTGGGGGCGTTGCACCCACCTGCACTGTGCTTCTGAGATCTGCCGGAGCTGATGCTGTCGACACCTGAGTGTGTGTGGAAGGGTGGTTGAGGCTGAGGAGAGGATGACGATGCGAGACGGCTGTAAGGGTGGCACCAGACATTACATCACTGGCTTTGGGTGAACAGAAGCTTACAGCGGCGGGTGCGAGAGGCATGTAAAAGTGTGCAGATCTAGAATCAGCTGCAGATTTCAAAGGATGCATTAATGAGCCACATAATCCGTCTGAACAACTCCGTAGGCAGCTTGTGGTAATTGTGGCTGCTGCAACCTGCCTGTGCACAACTGCTGGGCTGCATGCTGCACTGAGTTGTGATGTTTCACCCTGACTAACAGAAGAAACTGCACAAGGCAAGACAAGCTGGCCTTGTGCAGGGCTTAAAGACAGCGCAGGGACACAGTCCTCCTCACAAGCTGCTGCTGAAGGCAATGTTGGGTCCGAGGGAGCGGCCGATGCTTCGGGATGGACCGTGTCCTTTGATTTGCTCACAGTGTGTGGCGAAGCAGCAGGACCAGCGGTGTTTGGTAACTTGAGCTGGTACTTGGGCAGGAAGGTGTTGTTGGTGACGGAGGCGGCTGCAGCGGCCGCAGTGCTCACTGCCAGTGCAGTCGCATCGACTCCACACGGCAGAAAGAGGGCTGCTTTGGGCTCAGTGTGCTTTGGGTTTGTTAGAGCGTGCACAAAGGTGACGTTAGTGCCACGCTGAGGCACGCTGAAAGTGACCAAGGAAGGAGGGGGAGCTGATGTGTTTGGGACAGTCTCCAGATCCATGGGGAAGATCGTTTTGTGATCAGTTCTCTGTTTTTTCCTGTCGGAGGGAAGGTGGTCTCCACAGAGCTGCCACGATGAGTCTGTATGCTCTGGAGCACTAGTGGGTTTCACGGTCTCTGGTCTGGTGCAGCACTCTGCTTTATGGCTAACCAGCGGTCTGATGGCGGGGACAGGGAGCATCGACAGTGATGAGTTTCTCCCAAGTGGAGCCCTGATAGGACTGCGACATGGTTCAAGCGGACGTGTCGGTAAACCAGAGTCACCTGGAGGGACGAGGGACGGACTGGCAGGAGGACGGTCTGCTGTTGCACCGCTCTTTGTGAAACGCAGCATCGTTGGGACGGTCTCTGTGTGGTCCGCCGACGCTGCTTTTTGCAGATCGTGAACAAGCTGGAGGTTTGTTGAACACTTCCTGCCTTTGACGGTGCCGTTCTCTACACGTTTGTCTGGATCGTAGAGCCTTTTGAACGTCCCGCCCCCGTACATGTACCACTTGTTGTAAGCAAACTTCTGTGCTTTTTTCCTGCGAAACTTTTTGGTGTTTGGCTCTCCACAAACGTCACCAACATCCCCGTTGCAGCCGAGGCTGCTGGTCCATGCCTCCTCCACAGATGAATTTGTGAAGAGGCCATCTGTTGCGTGGTTGCAGTCTACGGCTGTCTGTCGCACCAGTGGGCGGTGGGCAGATGAATGCTGGTTCACAGGCTTCCTTGCTGAATCTGTTGGGTTGATCTGGCCCAAGCTTCCCCTGCGGGCGACAGTTACGTAATCAGGCTGGTGGCGGGAGGTTGGACTGCTTCCCTCTGGCTGCTTGAGGGTAAAGCTGAACGGAAGGGAGCTGCTGCGGGTAAAGGGGGCATGCTGCATGGAGGGGGTGCGCGGAGCGGGAACAGAGCTGTGCAGTTCAGGCTTGCTGTGTTTAGTCAAACCAATATTCTGAGTTTGGTTGATCCGCATGTCGAAGTGGAAGGAATCTTTGTAGGTGTATGGCATGGGGAGGTCGATGCTACCCTGCTTTGACAGAATTGTTTTCCTTGGTCGTACATTTTCTAGTTGCTTGTCCTCCACGACGGCTGTATTCTCAGAGATCAGCTTAGAAATGCGTTCTACCAGCAGCTTCTGCTCCTGCTTTCTCACCGCGCGTTTGGAATCTTGTTCTCTGTGGTCAGAAGACGCGTGCACGCTCAGGGTTTCTCCAAGATGCTCCTTATTGGATTCAGTGAGTGAATCCATACTGTGGTCAGGTAGAACACTGCTTGGACTCGGGTAGTGGTCGCTGCTCTCACTGAAGCCAGAGTCTGTGCTCTCATGACTTTGGGATTTCCCACTAGACACAGAACTTCCCCACTGCTTGGAAAACAGAGTGGCTTCTTGTCTCTGAAGCAGAATCTGTCGACTTCCCATCAGAGGCTGTGTTGTATTATCTAACTTCTGTTTGTCTTCCTCTTTTGTTACTTTGCTCTCAGTAGTTTCTGTACGGTGACCCGAGAGGCCCAATTCCTTCTGTGCACCGACGGAACCTTCTGGCGGGACGCTGTGAGCCTGTGCAGTGCTGGCTGGGGGACTGCCCTCCACGGCTGGCAGCGTGTCGTGCTTTTCCGTGCTGCAGGATTCCTCGCTGTGTTCATCAAGAGACAAACTGGAAGTACAAGTCTCTCTTGAACTGTAAAGGCTGTCCAGGCTTCCCTGCTCGGACTCGGATGAGAGGCGAGCGTGTGCCTGGGTCCGTCTGTGTTTGTACAGGTTGCTCTGGGTCTTAAAGGACACTCCGCAGGTGGTGCAGGGGTAAGGTCGTTCCCCGGTGTGGCAGCGGAGGTGCTTCTCCAGCACACTGGGCTTCATGCAGTCACGTCCACAGTGAGGGCACACGTGCTTGCCTGCAGACTTAGGTTTTGCTGCGGGAGCAGCAGCTGCCAGATTCAGTCGTGGCTGAGGCTGCAGCCCACCAGTGAGTTGTAGAGTCAGAAATGGAAGCGTCTCCTTGGAGTAGAGAGGC